TTGGTGTTTTCAAGTTCTCCTTGATGTTTCCATGTCCTCCACAGTGTTTTCAGGTCCTTCTTGGTGTTTCCAGGTCCTCCTTGGCCATTTAAAGCTCAGAGACATCAAACAAACCTTGCTGAGACACAAATCCTCTGGATGTGCTTCAGTTAGTGATTAACTCCAAACTAATTTGCTGTCAAGGATTTTAATGGACCTTGATAAATCTCCTAATCCCGTCCTTTCTTCCCTCAGTGCTGACAGGAATCATCACTGGCTGCTCTTGGCTCTGTAGGAGGTTTGGGATGGTTCGGAGCCGGGATTTTCTTCTGGGAGTCTTTTCCCACACTTCAATTCTTTTTCCTAACTGTCCCTCCAAAACAACCCCAAAACTTCTTTAAATAACTTAATTCAGCATTTAACTTCCCATTTTTAACTGGGTGCAAATCTGGCTGGAGGGAAGGGTTTATGGTTCAAAGCCAATCTCAGCTGGCGGCTCCCAAACCAATCCAGAGCTTTGGGATAGGAATGTGATTTCCTTGGATCACCTGGGTCTCACTGGACTCGTCTCACCTGGGGCAGAGTTCAGGTATCCCGAGGCAGGAGATGACTCCCAAACAGTCCTAAATCTCGGTGGATTTATGGGAAAAGGGCACAGAGAGCAGGGAAAACAATCCTTGTGTTTGTGCCCCACTCCTCGAGGATTTCGAACAATAAAATAGAAATCTCAAGCTATTTTTGTTTATTTTCTGGGGTCCTGCTGAGTGCTCTGCTGGGCTCTGGACAGTGTCTGGAATTTTGGCTTCTCCCAATTCCCTGTGCTGGATAAAAGCTCTCCAGTGAGTGGGCAGAGATGTTCTGAGCTGGGCTCCAGGGCAGGACAGCTGGAAGCAGCTCCAGTGTGGATTTGATATTCCTTGGCACGAGGCAGGAGGGACTCGGGATAACTCTGAGCAGTGAAAAGGCAGAACAGCTCTGGAGCTGAAGCACAGCTCAGGACTCCTGTCCAATTTGCAGAATGGATTTCAAATCCAGCTTCCGACTGCAGCTCCAGAAATGCTCTGCTGAGAGTTACAGACCAGGCTCGGTGTTGGGATTAAATCCAAGGACATCCAATGATCAACTGGACATAAAACAATCCCATCTTTCCTTTCCTTTCCTTTCCTTTCTTCCGCACCTTTCCTTTCCACCCCTTTCCTTTCCTTTCTTCCGCACCTTTCCTTTCCACCCCTTTCCTTTCCTTTCTTCCGCACCTTTCCTTTCCACCCCTTTCCTTTCCTTTCTTCCGCACCTTTCCTTTCCACCCCTTTCCTTTCCTTTCTTCCGCACCTTTCCTTTCCACCCCTTTCCTTTCCTTTCTTCCGCACCTTTCCTTTCCACCCCTTTCCTTTCCTTTCTTCCGCACCT